GTACTGGATGATACAGCTAGCTCACCTTTCTTCGACTTCTCCAATGTAAGTTTTAAGTACTATTGCATTAATTGAAGAATGTGACATTTTTTACCATTTGCGTGTTTACTTGTTACAGTGTTTCTACAAAATGATTCAATTAATTCTTTATTTTATTTTTACTTTGGTATTGTTAATAGAACAATTTCACTATGAACAAGAACACAAAGTCAGTGGAAAATGTGTTGGATTTTTCACAAGGTTACTCTACTACACACTTTCAGGTACTTGAGCAATTTGTTTTTGTGCATGTATGTCTAGTTATGACTTCGATTAATATTCCATAATATAAAATCTTAAAAAGAGATAAAACTAATGTGCTTATTATTTAATATGCAGGGGAGATCTGCTTACCAGGAACACTATGGTTATTTCCAGTCATCTCTGTTACCTGGAAACAAATTGCAAGAAAACCAGTTAAGTTCTTTTTTGGTTCTTTTTTTGTACTATTAATAAATTATTTGATGATTTAACTAACTAATTTTTTGTTTTAATTTGTTTTTGGACAGATGGTTTGAAGAGAAGAGGTGGGGATAAAAGCCAGCCATCAGTTTTAACTTTTAAACATGCTGATGGTGTCTGTTGCTAAGTGAATGTTTAGAGAGTGAGAATAAGTTAAAATTGTCCAAGCAAAAGGAATTGGATCTCTAAAGGGATTCTTGTTCCTTATCTCTTTTAGTTCTTTTCTGTTTTCTTTTTTTCTTTTCTTTTAGCTGTCAATGCATTTTGAAACAACTTGAAAAGAAAAAATGGGAATTCATTTCCTCTCTCTCAGAGAATTATCTTGTTGTCAATGAATGGTGCCTGCATTTAGTTTGCCTTTTTTTTTGTCGAGTTCTTGTCTATCTATTTCTAAAAATTTATTGGCTCGACTAATTCGAATAGTATCGGATAGACCATTACTATTGTATTATGTTTTTCTAATTTAATTATCTATTTTTAAAATTCACTGGTCAACTAATTCGAACCGCTTCGGATTGGTCATTGATGAAGGTGAATCACTCCTTATTAAGAAAATTAAATCTTAATGCTCTGTTGACTAGCTATTTATGAAGTAGTATTATTAATTGGACATGTCATCAGTTCTTAATTAAGTACATAAAGACTTCTAGAGAGGGAATTGGGACAAATAATCCTAGTCATTTAGGCCAACCAAATTTAGTTCTATTCCAAAAAACTGTTTCTAAACTATATATTCGCAATTTGCAAGACTTTAGTGGAGAAACTGGAAAATTAAGGACCTGTTTGGCAATAGATTTTTTTAAAGTTCTTCTAAATTTTTTTTGGTAAATACATATTTGTTCATAAATTTTATTCATATTTTGGCAAATTCCCAAAATTCAAATCCCCGCCCAAAATATTACTATTATATTTTTAAAAATTGCCCAAACTTTTGTATTTTATAAAAGAGCCCACCATTTATTATTTTGTAACAATGTAGTTTCGTCTTCTCAGTCATCTGATAGTATATTATGTAGTTCATTATAAAAATGATAATTTTATACCAAATTTATTTATGTTCGGGACTATAGCTTGTGATAATGATAATTAATGTTATTAATGAATGTATTGTTAGGTATTTGTAACAGCTGTTAGTACTTGTGGGTATAAGTCATGTTTCATGTTTTTTTAAAAAAAGGTGAAATATGTTTTGCAAACTGATGTCCAAACACATTTTTATCTTAAAACCAAATTTCACCCAAATTAGATTTTTCAAAAAAAAAAATAAAAATTTATGACAAAACACTAGCGAAGTAGCTAGAAGATAAAATCATAAGAACTTGTTATACTAAAAAAATGTATATCTGATTAGGTAGGATTTTGCTGAAATTCATTTTGAAAAGCAGTGGAAGCTGACCAAATCTTGGAAAAGGCTTGGCTATAATGTGGACAAGACCTTATTGTCTCTTAGTGTCCAGACAAGAGTACATTCTGATCATTCTTGTTCTCATATTGATTCAAAGATCTTACCATGTTAATATTAGGAAGGGAGGAAAAATCAATATGATTATCCTTTTTTTAATACAATAATGCAATTACTAAATAATTTTCTTTTTGTCAATACGGATGTAAAATTATCTTTCATTCAATAGAAAGTTCTTTCAATTCATTGTTCATTTACTCTAGATTTTATTACCGAGGTCTGTTTTAATTTAATTTGAGAAGTCAAGGAGACACAAAAAGCTAATACTAGTAGTGAATATGTTACAAGGGTAATGGGATAGTAAGAGAAAAAGTACAGAGATGAGGTGGGAAATGCCAAAATTAATATTTGGAATATTTCATAGGCAAAATTCATGATCCTTTTTCAAGTGCAGAGATCCTGCCTGAGATCTTCCTGAACCAGTTTTTACATGCCATCTTTAATTTAATAGGTGCCTCTTTATCTCTTTTAGAAGTTTCCTCAATATTCAAATGTTCTATATAAAATTGTTTATGGACTTAGTATGTTTACAATGATCTTTTAAGAAAAAGAAAGTAAAAAGAGTTAACATATTTGCATTCAAGATCGTATACATGAGTTTTCCTAGTCCAACAGCTGCTTTTTCGGGTTCTTTTTTCACTTTTTCCTACAAATATTTCATCTCCTTAAAATGATTTAAATGGAGCGACATGAAAAGATATACCCAACCTTAGATACGTTCAAGATCTTGGATATAATAATTTTCTTATTCCAACAGTTGTTTTTCATGAGGGGTTTTCTTTTTTCTTTTTTTTCAAATTTTCCTACAAAAGTTTCACATCCATCCAAAGCTAAGATAAGTTTAAATAGAGCAACATGAACAATGAAAATTCATATAACTGATCTTGACTTATTTGAGATTAAGGTATAGTTATTATTGTTATGTTTCACGTCCAACGGCGTCATCTAAGTAGCCAAAAAAGAAGGCAATAGAAAGTGTAACACTAAGAGAATAGTGAATTCACTTTCTGCTACATTGAATCATTGATGATATCACTATTGTTTGGCATACACAAGATCAATATTTGATTTCACCAGCTTCCAATTGTACACTTAATGTTCATTAGGGTCCTTTCAAAAAGATAAATAAATAAATAAGATAGTGAATTGGAGCTAAAGACAAAACAAAAATGGGCAGAAAAAGGAAATGATTAGGGGTTTGGTTCTTTAAGTAGATTATGGTAGATAGGAATCAAGAAAGTATGGGGCAAAATATTTTTGTCCTACCAACTACCATCAAAATAAAGCCTTAGAATTCAATCTTCTAAAAAGGCACAGAAATAGTACTAATATTAAAATTTTAAACATAAACTTAGATGGTCCTGAATTTAATTTTCACCTTGGACTGTTCCCAATTCTCATGACAACACTCTTCTCGTCCCAAGAAAAACCGTAAATGGCATCTAGCCCCCTTATCTTTCTGCCATTTTTCACTTTTGGTCAGGCCCACAGGCATGTGTTATATATCAGTGAGAGTGAACATGCACAAAACTGTACTTGAGATTCAGCCTTAGATCACAATTCTACAGCCCCGTACCAATACCATACACCACAAAATTACAAAAGCTGGTAACTTAAGTTGGCTGTAACAGGGCATGGATCTATCTCCTGCAAAAACTTTACTGTTTTTTTCTCAAGGTCCCCATTATTTTCCAGAGTTTAATCCAAGATGGAAGTGAATTTTGTTTGTCCAGTTTTTTCTTTTAGTAAATTTACAAAGAAGATAAGAAAAGAGATGGTTCAAGATTTTTCATTTTGCATGTATTGTCTGGACAGAAAATGAATATGGACATAATGGAGTAGGAATGGCTGTACTAAATAGAAAGATGTTGATGTGGAATATATTTCTGTTTTATATGGATTTATATATCTCAAAGTAAATGGAATGTGGTGTAATAGATAAGATTCTCGCACCTTTAATTAAATGAAAAACTCCTAATAAAGAGCGCTTCCATCATTAATTAGTCCTACGTATGAGGCGCGAATCTAAATTAGTCCGTCCAATGAATTTTGAATAACAGAATAGAAACAACTGGCATTACCATCATAAATATGAGGTAGTTACGAGGTCATGACATGAGTCCAAACAGGACCACAAGAAAGATCAGATCTGATTATTACTATCAGATCATTTAGGAAAAAGGTGAACTGAATCCAGCGCAGCTCCAATCTATAGTGGACTTGGCTTTAACTCTCACTGCCAACACTGCAATCTTTCATGTAAACATACAGCATTGGGGTTCACCAAACGATTTACTGCAACTTTTTACTAGTTTTTCTTCACCATTCAATACTAACTTTTGGCACAAGGTTTTTGACAAACAGTTTCTCAAGTTGCTGATGCATAAGGGCTATAATGGAGAGCCGAGAAGAATAATAGCAACAAAAAAGAGTGAAAGAAAAGAAATTGTGATTTTTGATGATCATTATGAACTTTATTAGTTTCAGTTGCAAGCACCAAATGAGAGAAGACAACCTAAATAATGAGAAACACAATTTCACATTCTTTTCTGAAATTCCGAGTCCAGTTTCTATCTTACGAGTTAAAACTACATTCATTTATTTGAGTATCTGGTATTTTCTTTTAACTCGTAATCATACTATCGTTCTAATTGAGGCACAATTGACTGGTAGACCCTTTCGGTTTTTATAGAAAACTGAAGCGCCTTTTGTCTTTCAACTCTTCTATGTAAATCTCCGGTTCCATCTCTTCTAAGTTCTAAATTTGCACCATGTACAATTAGCCTCATTTCCCATTTGTATAAATCCAAGATTTTGATTAGACAAGCAGAAGAAAGGAGCCAAGATAGATCCAAGCTTACTGTTTTTTTTTTTTTACCATTCTAAGGATGTATTTCGTCCCCTTTTCCTTTGAAATGTGGTCTCCAAATAGTAATGGTGCTCATGTTTTTTCCTTTTCATGCTGTCATACACTTGCAAAATGGTGAGATAAAGCTAGTGAATTTTGTTAAATTGCACAAAGAATCCATCAGTATGCTTGCGCGTAAAACAATTCCACAAGCTATTATCACTTGAAACAAATCATCCAACACGCTTGAGCTAAATACCTTTTCAAGTTGAATCATTACTTCGAAGCAACAGTGATGCTTGTAATATATAAAAACTATAGGGTATACTAGTGAATTCAGTTAGTACTTGGTTTTCATAGGTCATATTTAACTCTCCGCCAATATATTCACAATACTCGGCACTCACTCCAGCAATTGCTTGTGCTTACACCAGGCAATTGCAATCACATATAAGAAGAGACTGCCAGTGGCACCACCACCAATTGTCCATAAGAATTCTGGCATCCCAGCTTTAGCTTCGTCGAATAGTTCAATGGTAATATTCATGCCGAAAATTCCAGCCACAACAACAAAGGCGCTCACCACAAGAGTTGCTGTTGTTAACATGACGCCCATTTGTAAAAGATGGTTCTGCTTGTCATCCAGCATGATGTTGATATAGTCCTCTGTGTCATCCACATACTCCCGCAGCTTTGAAGAAATGAAAATAGATTCATAAGAGAGATCATAACAGCGGAACAAACTAAACTCCAGCATAACTGTGTTATCCACGTTGCTACAAAATTAGATTAAATTTAAATCTGGAAAAGGTAAAAACAGAGACATTTATACAATAGTGAATGTAAAATTTTGACTTGTGCAGTCAATAATTCAATGAAGCAACAACTGGTACCAAAGAGAAACAGCCATAAACTAGAGGCTTGACATATTTGAAATATCATTTAATGGGCTGTTCGATCAAGTAAAGGTTCATCTCTGATAATACTATTTCAAAATCAATGTAGTTATTTGCAATTACAATCTATTCTAAATGCAATATTTTTAACCAATGGTAGTTTCATCTAGAATCTGAACTTTGAAAAGTCAAATAAAATATACTCCAAGTGAGAAGGGTTAGATTGAAGAGAAAGTCAAACTAGGATACGGCAATATCAAGAGATGACAAATTAGAAGAATGTTTGTGCATCATCTAGGTTGGATCATTACTAATGCACATGCGAAATATTTGTGCATCATCTAGGTTGTACCATTACAAATTATGAACGATAATATATCTGAAATGGTGTACCTGATGCTACTGTCATATAGGCTTAAATCTCTACGGAGCAGCATATCTGGGGTCTTCTCCTCCCTCTAAATATAGCTAAGTTTTTTTTCAAATGTAATTATAACTAGGTATTGATGCAGCTTTTAGTGGACTGGTCTTTCTAATTGGAAAGCTCATATCACAGAAAGAAATTAGAATACATAAAGCTTACTCATGTGATTTCTTCATCTGGTAAATATAACAGAATCAAAATGTTATTTGGATGTAAGGTAATTGTCTGAATTCCGAAACTTCGACGACTGTCAGGGTCTTAGTTTCTCCGCCTGCTACTCTTTATTAAAGATTGAATTTGAGAACAAACATCCGGTTCTAAAATTAACCATCAAAATCCTCTTTTTCGATAGGAGAGTTAGCCACAGTTGAATAAACATATGGCGCAAATCCTTACAGAAGTGCACAAGTATGGGGATATAATTTCGTAACTAACTGTCGGTCACCAGAGGGCAAAAATATTCTCAAAAGAGAGAGCTTCATACACTTAAAAAGTTCTTAGATAGGAGAGTGTTCTACAATTCAATCCATCTCAAGATCTGACCCTCTATTTCCTGTTTATCAGGGCATCACAATCACTGCCTATATTTGTTTCCTTTTCTTTTTCCTTTTCTTTAATCCTCTTTGAAGAAGTATTATCTACCTTCTTGAGCATCCCATCTCTATAAACCAATAGTTCATTTGAAGTAGACTCGCATCCTTCTAAAGCTTGGGTGATACCATTTTTGTTTCTGTCATTTGTCCTTCTCCATTCCTCAATATTACTGTAGCATCCTTCCCTATAAATGAATAGTTGATTTTGCAGTAGAGACTCATCCTTCTGAAGCTTGGCTGACCCCATTGTTCTGTTTCTGATCCATTCCTCAGTAGCACCATTGAGTTTGGGAACTATTGCCTTCTTTTGCTCTTTTACCATACTCTCAATTACTTAAACTTTGGAGCTAATTACCAATAATCCAAGTTGAATATGAGATGATCGATTGACAGCATTAATTTATTTATATGATCACGAAAATTCTTTCTGGATACTGCAGATTTAAAAGTAGTACCTACATATTTGCATAGATGTCCAGTCTTAGGTGGCTTATAGGAGATTTATTCAACTTCCAAGCCTTCTCTTTTTCTCCTCCCATCATATCATCCAAAATCCTTCACTTCTTCTCTCTGAAAAAATACCACTCAGGCGACATGCCATCAACTATATGAGCATCCTAGTTCGGTTCTAATTATTTTTAAGTTGATTAGACGAGTGTACCTCTAATTATAAAGCCTCCCTGGCATGGACCAAAAATAACAAGAACCTCCATATTTCTAAGTTTTTTTCTGACAAAGATAGTCTCTTTAGATGATCTAACCTATTTCCTGTTAAGAAATAAAAGTACAGCAATTAAAGTTGAAAAAAAATTGTACCTTCAAGGCCCGTTTGGTACGAGGGATAAGGGATAACCAGGATTAAATTTAAGATGAATTTATCCTATGTTTAGTTGGGATAAAATTGCGGTATAACTAATCCCGGGATTAGTTATCCCGGGATTGTAGTATTTTTTTATCCCTATGTGAGGGTAGAATAACTAATCCCGGAATAACTAATCCTAGAATAATTAATCCCGGGATAACTTGTTTCCAACCAAATGACCCCTCAATGTCTCTGGAAATCCTTAAGTGCTAATCATTAAGCGAAAAAAGAGACGGGCTTGGGGACTATGTCCCTTAAAACTATTAGACAACTTGAAGAAACATTAGATCGAAGAGTCCCTAAGGGACGGAAAACTCTTCTGTACAAATTTGGGGAAGATTCTTGGGTTTTTTTCTTCTTTTTGTGAACTTTCAGTCTAACCATGAGATTCTCATTAGCATAGATGATGGGTGAGATCCGTAAAGAATAAAATATATTTGTCTAAATTCTCTACTTTTTGTAGACAGCGATTCTCCCCCATATCAATAAAGTAATTACTTTATTTTAAAAAAAGTGGCTTATAGAGAAAATTGGAAAATGAAGTTTGAAGCAGCTAATGAAAGTTCCATGCAATCAGCAGTTCAAAATAAAAACTATAGGTTGTGGACAGAAGTAGTCAAATTTACATACTTTTACATAATAGTAGAAAGACAAGTCCAATAACATGGCAGTTGAATTTTAAGAAGTCTTAATGTGAAAAATTAGATTGTCTGAGTTTTTACCTTGGTAAATCGGGTACTAGATAGTTATGTGTAAATAGTCCTAGTCTCATATGTTATAGGGGTAGAATATGTCCTAGTCTCATATGTAATAGGAGTAGAATATGTCCTAGTCCCGTAGAATATGTATTATATATAGGTCTCATTATATCATTGTTAATAAAATATGTTTTACTCCCGTGCATTCTCACATGGTACCAGAGCTTCAATGAGAAAATCATCGTTGTGCGTCATTCCAGCGACATCCGGGAAGAAAGATCTCGTTGCCGTGCAATTTTCCGGCAACTTCGTCTTGTTCCCAGGGTTCATCACTGCTACATTGGTACTGTGCATATACCAGTACCACCATCAGATCCGAAACCCTTGTGCGACCAAACCCCAGAAATCTCAGTCCCATCGGAACAAAAAAGTCGGTCACCGTGGGTCTTTCCGGTTGATGACTAGCGTTATCTCCTCATCGCCAAGTGTTGTACGAAAACCAACACTACCATCTTGTTCGGAAAAGGCGACAAAACCCCAGACAATCGCTCCGGCAGAAAGTTCCTCATGCGCCTCCACGCGCTGCCAGAACTAGGGTTCCGGCGAGATACAGTAACTTTTTCCGGCGCGAGTGAGCTATACCAGCCACTTTTTGACAAAACTTCTTCAGGACAACTTACTTGTCCAGTGATTCCGTGCCTACCCATTTAAATTACATCAAATTCTGACTACTTCTAGTTTTGCTATGTGAACAGTAATTTCCGACGTAAACAGTAATTTCTAGAAAAGTTTATGGTGGTGTTTTAGAACCTATTTTGTAGTGTGGAATTTGGCTTAGTCTCACTATTTTCAAATTTTTCCGAAGACTTTTCGGCCAACTTCTGTTTATCAGCAACCACCTGGTTTTCTAGTGGCCTTGTATGTCAAATGATCAGCTTGCAGATATTTTCACCAAGTCCCTCACTGGCCCTCGTATTAGTTAGATATGTAACAAGCTTGATACATATGATTTGTATGCACTGGCTTGAAGGAGAGTGTTAGAATTTAGATAGTTATGTGTAAATAGTCCTAGTCCCATATGTAATAGGAGTGGAATATGTTCTACTCCCATATGTAATAGGAGTAGAATATGTCCTAGTCCCGTATGTAGTAGAAGTAGAGTATGTATTATATATATGACTCATTGTATCAATGTTAATAAAATAGATTTTTCTCCCGTGCATTCTCACAGATGCAATGATAATGGGCAACTCATGCACCTTTTCAAAAGAGGGTCAAGCATCCATATGAACATTTATTGCATCAACTACGCACCCGATTATCATTGTTAGCTAGAAACAACAAGGTACCGGTTCCAAAGTATGACATTAGATACCAAGTTCAGATCAAATTACTTTTCATAAAGCATTCTTTTCATAGAAAAACACGAATGAACCATATATTAATGATTTATATACTAGTGAAAGTAATTCAAGCATCTGGGAACATCACTCACCGTGTTCAATTTGTTCAATGTACCATCGATTTGAACAAAATATGCTTCTAAGAGCATTTCAAGCTCCTCCACGTCAAGATGTTTGCTTATAGCACTTCGAGTCGTACTAGTATGTGTCCCACGACTACCTCGGCTAAGAGCATTTGGACCACCAAACAACCGTTCCTGCTGGTTGTCAATATGTGGAATGTCCGCATCATAACTGGTGGAACCTGCATTTGCGTCCATTGAGATTTCCGCAGGAACCCTGAAATATCAAATAGCTTGAAATTTAGGAATAACATTGAAACAATGCATTGACATCAGCACCACCTCTCAGGGTCATGCAACTGCAATTTTAAAAGAAATAGCATTGATCAGCAGATGTCTCAGTATTCAGGACCAGATTTGAGGAAAAGCTTGTCGTAAGTTTAATCTAGGCATTGTTTTGAAAGTCAAGAAAATCCTCCACAGAAACCCATTTTCCCAGACTCTGGGATCCATTCGGTTTGATAGAAGTCTATAGAAGAGTTATAAGGCAGTAATATGCTGCAGGGACACTCATTTCAGGGAGAAGACATGATACATTGCTTCACAAGCTCAATGTGGTCAAATGTGGATGATGAAACAACAGAACAAAGAGAAATACAAGCACATTTAAGGACCAACAATATCTCAGTTTTTTCCCTCAGAAAATAAAGGACCAATAATATCTCTGCAGGTGGAAGCAGCATTAACACTATCATATGTACATGCTCTTCCGGCACATAAGATCAGCTAGAAATAGTAATGCGAATCATGATTATGTAAGCATCAAGGTAACTGACTCGATTGGAGAAGAAATTTTATTTAGTTACTCATACAAATCTGAAAAAACTCTGGAAGTAAAAGAAGCAGGGAAAAAGACTACAGACTGGAGATCCAGATCAGTGGTGAATGTGTAGATTCAGCTCCTCCGAAGATCTTTTATCATCTGTCAAGGCTATTTTTACTTGTTTACTTTTTGAATAGAAGAGAAGATGTGGATAAAGTAGCTCTTTGGTCAATTTATTGTAATGACTTGGCCATCCTGGCCTCTCCCCGGTGCATTTTAGTTATCTAATATCTACTAATGCAACAGCAGTTTTCCAGGAACAGTTTTGAAATTAGGAAAAGACTGCTCAGGCTCTCAACATGTTGATGACAGACTAATAGCCTGTTTGGCCAAGCCTCTAGAATCGGCTTATTTTGAAAAGCGTTTTTCTAAATAGTGCTTTTCAAAAAGAACTTTTGGTGAGAAGCAGTTTGGGTTTAGTTAATTAATTTAAAAAGGACTTTTGAACAACAATTAGTGTTTGGCCAAGTTTTTAAAACTGATTCTATGTGTATCTTCTCAAAAGTGCTTTTAGAAAAGTGCTTCGAGGGAGAAACTACTTTTTTTTGCTTCTCAAAAGTTATTTCTGCTTCTACCCAAAAATACTTTTTTCCTTCTAAAAGCTTGGCGAAACACCTTAACTTTAGGAAGATCCGTCTAGTTTTCAAATATGAGGAGGTTCTGAAACACAAAGGAAAGGGAAAAATATCAAGGCAAAACATCAAGGTATCATCAATATATAACATACCTATCATCCATGTTCAACTGAATAACTTCCTCATTGATGCCATCTTGCCCACTTATAGAGGAAACAGAAGAATTTTCAAGTTGTTCCATCAGCTTGTCAGTCAAATACATCTCAGCCATATCCTCATCATCATCTAGTAGATGCTCCAGTTCATCTCTGACCTACCAATGAACAAATGCCAATTTGAGTGCCAAAAAATGCGTAGATAGTACATTTCATAGCAACCACTCAAACAGAATGAATACAGTAGTTCATTTTGCAACCATTTGTCTATCAAAGTACCTGACGACATTGTAAGGAAAAAGAAACAAACTACAGCATTTCCTTAATTTTCTGAAATCAGCAAATGAGATTCTCTATGAGTGGCGCTGGAAATCAATTATGAGGCTTTGATGGTAGTGCATGTTGACCTTCTAACAGGAAAAATATTTTCTCAGTATCAGCCTTCCTAAAGAAATATACACATGGATAAACCTTGACATATACCTTGCAAATTTCCATGCCTTGAGGTTCGTTGGAATTATAGAAGAAGTATAGAATGAATAGACCGTCACAATATCAAAAGCATAAAATATACAGATAAAACTAGCATCTAAACTATTTGACTCCACTACAAATTTTCTCATGCCGTTATTCAGTAATAGTTAACCAACACCCCTAGTCTACCGAGAAATGCAGATTCTTTATCCACTTTATACCTTCTGAACACGTCCTGTAATAGCAACCAAGCGGCTTTTGATTTGACGAACACGTTCCAAGTTGAGAGTACTAATCTTTGATGTCAGCTTATCTAAAGCAGGATGAGCTTCTTGCTCCAATGTTCTAGCCTGCTTGAAATAGAAGCACACAAACAAAGACCAGAAAGAGAGAAGAAACTAAAAGTGAGCAACAACGAAAGTGGGAAAATAACCAAATCCAACAGAGCAATTAAGATCTAATGTGTTTAGCACATTCGAATAAATCAATAGAATTGTTCTTCACCTCATTATCCAAACAACTGCAAGCAGCCTCCAGGCATGCCTCCAAAGCAACAAACTCAAATGGGAGAAGCTTTGGCCCATCTCGGTTCTCACCAGCTTGCTGCTTCCCATCAGCCTTGTTCTCATCCTTTGCTCGGAAGCTAGCAGACAAGTTTGGAGGAGAAACTGCTCCGGATTGTGGCTCTTCCAGGTCATACAGATTTGTCCAGTCTGCATTATCACAACCCCCTCCAGCTTCCTTATTCACAATTACCACATTTTATCAGATCTACAGAGAACTAAAATCATGCGGATAAGTCCCCTCCCCTTCCCCCGGGGATCAAAGCAGCTATAAGCACAATGTTTTAATTTGAGCCCACATAAGTTATCCCAATTGAGATAGGTCATAATAACTAAAACTCTAAGCATCAAAAACCTGATGTTGCAAAAAACAGTCCACTATAAAATAGAATGAGAAGGCACTTAAAGCTTCTAGTTAGATGGTCTAGATACATATAGTTAGAGTCCCCAAGGGCATGATTGAGTGGTTGAATCATTGAGATCCCAGCTCATCTGCTACAGTCATGATTAACAGGTTTACCCAGCACATGTGCTTGTAGGCGATAATAGACTGCCCCGGTGGATTAGTTGGGGGCATAAGCTGGGCCGGACACCACAATCATAAAAAAGGTATACATACATACATTTTTCCATAGAAAGGAGGATAACTTCTTTACACCAATAAGCAACAATCGCGAAACTGGAAAACCGGAAATTCCAAATAGACAACTTCAAACATGACACTATCCAATAAAACTGCAGCAGTAACACGAGCAACGTACAAACTAGTAATAAAAGCTAAAAATTGGACATATTACAATATCATCAAATCATCAACTAAAGACCAAGAAGAGTAACAAATTTTATTCATTGATCTCTAAGTTGGACTCAGTAATATGGATCCTCTATATCCACTCCGCTTTGTTAGGTTTAAAGCACAGAAAAATATAAAATATCTAATAAATTCTTAGGGATAAATTTCTCATAGTATATAATCCGACGACAGAAAAACCTGGGACTTGGTAGCTTGATAATGGCGCAAAATTCTCCGTTGAAGCTCTTCAACGAAAGGAGAAACAGAGGGATCCCTAGCGTTGAGCAAGAGGACCTCCTGGCCCGTAATAATAGCCTTGATATGCTCCAAATTGATGACGATAGCCCGTTCACGGCCCAATACAGTAGACGGATACGATAGAAGCGGGTCCAATATGCGAAGATCACGGGCCGGAAGTCCAGTTCGGCGCATAATAGCATGTTTTCCGACTTCCACAACTTGAGTCTGCCCAGTTGAATCCAATAGAAGCCATGACCGTATTCCCGTCCCCTTCTTTCGCAACCCAGGGCCGACGTTTATGCCGCCGGGGATGGCGGTGTTTGGTCGGAGTATATCGGCTGCGTCATCTTCCGGCGACGGAACCGTGAACTTCGGCGGCGGAGTGATCCCTCTCATTATTTTCGTCGAATCTTCGAAAAGAAAAATATCCTCTTAATAAGTGATCCTCAAGGAATCTGTGTTGTGGCCACTTTTGTTCCGTCTTATTGTTTCGTCCTCTACATTTTGACCTTTTTTAAAAAAAATGTTTTTGTGGTCCATTGCAAATTTATTTTTTATTTTATAATTCTATTTTTTTTATATATAATGGGAAACTTGTTTTTAAACATAAAAATCTATTTTTTATACATAGGAGATTTAAAAAAAGATACTTTATTAAGTTCAACGTTGCAAAATAGTTCTAATTTTCCTTTTTTTTTACTTTCAAGTGATAATGATATAGTTCTAATTTTCCTTTTTCATGATATAATAATTAGATTTAGGTCATTTTCTTAATTTGAAATTTATAAAGGGGCATGATGTATAAATAGCACTTCTTAGACAATGGGGTTTGTGGCTTTTTACAGTTTATTTTAGTTTTATAACTCTACCTCTTTTTGACAAATGGAAAATTTATTTTTATACGTAAGATATAATGTCTTTTACACATAATATATCTAAAAAGGATATTTTCTTAATTTTAAAATTATAAAGAGGCACTTCTTATTTACAATAATGACAATTCAGATAGTTTTATAGCTTTTACAAACTTATTTTTAGTTTTATTACCCTTTTTTTTTAATAAAGAGGGGATTTACTATTACACATAAAATATCTCTCTCTTACATATAGCGATCTAAAAAGGGCATTCTTAATTTTAACATTGTAAATGGCGACGAAGGTTCGTTTTTTGCCTATATAATTGAGTTGGCAAATACCGTTAAATGCAAATTTTTCCCTTTTTTTTGTTCCTCTCTCGTGTACCATTCATTTCACGTTTGGTCGTTCAAATTTGTTCTATTTTTACTAAAAGATAAGGGTGGGCGTCCGGACAAATCGGATTGCATATGAAAATTTCGGTTTAGATTTTCAATTTTCGAATTGAAGAAATGACAATTCAAATCTAATCCAAATAAGTTCGAATTGGATCGGATTTTTTAAGTTCAGTTTCAGATTAATCGGTTTGGATATTTTGGATTTTTCGGTTTTGAATTTATAAGTTGCGATATTTCTTCTTTCTACAAAAATAAATATTCAAATGAAGTACTCATGTTAAATTACCTAAAAAGTTCCTCATTATCACCGCAATCATCCAAATGAAGTATTCTAGTAATGAAATTATTATATAAAAAAGTACATTAGAGATATTAATATGGCCGAGAAGTAGAAATAGTAAAACCATGTACAAATGAAAAGTATTTTCACAATAACTTAGTAATTAATATTGAATATATGAGATAATATTTAATGAGTAGGGTATTGAACTTATTACTATTGACATATAGATAATGAACTAAATATAAAGTATAAGAATTTCGGATTTTTGGATATCCAAAAATTCGAAGTACCAAATCCAATATCCAAAATTTTTAAAAATTAAATCTAAAATCCAATCCGTAATCCGAAAATCCAAACCAAAAATTCAAAAATTTCGAATTTCGGTTTGAATTTCGGGTTTGCCCAAACTATACCAATCCCTATTAAAAGATTTCCGTTTGTTTAAAGTTTTTTGTGCTTATTCTTCACTTTTATTTTACAGTTAATTAATTGTTTATCTTTTTTTATTAAGAAATGATTTTTCTAGTACCATTTTCGCAAGATGAATAAAAATAATATCTCCTAATGAATAATTTCCTTTAGTATATTATTGATGATACTAAGATCTTAAGTGATGATATAATTAGTACGTCTAAATGAACCAAATAATAGACGTATATTTACTTTGGTCTTGGGGCACCATGTTAGTTGACAGTCAGCCTTGCAAAAATACCAGTCAAAACAGATTAATCGAAAGAAAATAAGAATTTTAAATTAGATAAAGAAATTTGATATTTACTCTTTTAACGTTGCTTCCTAGTTCCTACCTTCTCTTTATTTGCCCATCAAGATATTTCTTACCATTGTCAGTCAATCTAGCTTGTAGTCAATACATTTACAAGCTTTTGGTTAATACTTTGAAAATGCTGCTAATCAGAAAAGCACAACTGCTGGAACATTAAAATAGTTAAGTTACTGTAACGACCCGGCCGGTCGTTTCGAGAGTTGTAGCCCTGTTCCCCCATTTTTCGCTCCTTTTGTGTTCTATAGCTGTTATATGACTTATCGGGTTAGTTGGTTCGGGTCCGGAGAGATTTCAGAGTGAATTGAGACACTTAGTCTCATAATGGAAAGTTTAAGTTGGAAAAGTTGATCGGATATTGATTTATGTATAAACGATCTCAGATTTGAATTTTGATGGTTCCGTTAGCTCCGTTAGGTGATTTTGAACTTAGGAGTGTGTCCAGATTGTGATTTGGAGGTCCGTAGTAGAATTAGGCTTGAAATGACGAAAGTTGAAATTTTAAAAAGTTTGACCGGGAGTGGACTTTTTGATATCGGGGTCGGATTAGATTTTCAGAAGCTGGAGTAGGTTCGCGGTGTCATTTCTTGTGTGCAAAATTTGAGATCAATCAGACATGATTTGATAGGCTTTGGTGTCGTTTGTAGAATTTAGAAATTTTAAAGTTCATTAGGCTTGAATCCGTGTGCAATTAGTGCTTTTGATGTTGTTTGAGGTGATTTGAGAGTTCGACTAAGTTTGTATCGTGTTTTAGGACTTGTTGGTATGTTTGGTTGAAGTTCCGGGGGCCTCAGGTGAGTTTCAGGTGGTTAACGAATTATTTTTGAACTTAGCTTGTTAGCTGAAGTTTTCTGGTTTTTGCTGGTTTTGATTTCCTCTTATGCGATCGCATGGGAAAGTCCGCGATCCCGTAAGCTTAGTTGTGCAGTAGAGGAATTTGTTCTACGTGATCGCAAGAAGTAGGCTGCGATCGCGTAGTTGTGGAATGCTGTGAACCGTGAACGCGTGGCCAGGATCGCGCTCGCGTAGAGTATTGGGTCAGGAGTTGAGATCATGTAATTTCCCTATGCGATCGCATAGGTATGGACGTGATCGCGTAACTTTGGGGAGTCAACTGTACGCGATCGAGGAGGCTGTTACGCGTTTGCGTAGTGTAAGTTGTGGGACAATTTGGTTTGTTTTATGCGAACGCAAAGATTCTTCCGCATTCGCGATTTAAGGCTTATCTGGGCAAAATATAAGATTCAAAAATGAGGGTTTTGAGTTCATAACATAAAATTTATTTGGGAGCTCGGTAGAAGGCGATTTTTGGAGAGATTCTTGCGTGGGTGTTTGAGGTAAGTGATTCCTATCTAATTTTGGTCAGATTCCATAATTTTGCCTTTAATTCCATCATCTAATTTGTGATTTGGGGTGGAAAATTGGGGAAAAAGAGGAAGAGTTTTTGTGCTAGATTTTTGAAGTTTTGAATGAGATTTTGTTATGGGATATGAGTAAATTTGGTATGGTTAGACTCGTGAGTGAATGAGCTTTCGGGTTTTGTGACTTTTATTGGATTTCGAAATGTGGGCCCAGGAGCCGGATTTTGGCTAATTTTCGGATTTTGGCTTATAAATTCGTATTTTTATTATGGAATTGATTCCTTTAGCCTATATTGATTGTATTGTACTGATTGTGGCTAGATTCGGGACGTTTGGAGACCTATTTTAGAGGCAAAGGCGTGTTGGAGTAGAGTTTTGTCCGGATTGAGGTAAGTAACACTTTCAAGCTTGGTTTTGAGGGTTCGAAACCCCGAATTATGTGTTATATGATTTGTATTGAGGTGACGCATATGCCAAGTGACGAGCGTGCGGGCGTGCACCGTGAGAATTATGACCTGGTCGATTCCATGGCATTGTATAGTGGCTCTATCTTGTTGATATCCGTGTTTTCATCATGTGATAAAGTACTTGAGCTGTCGATCATGCTAGATATCATGTTTAGGCTTTATGCCGGTACTGTGGGGACCCATAATGGTCGTTTCTTGTTGTTGTCTTACTGACTTCATTGATTTTTCGTACTCAGTCATATTCATGCATTTCATATCATATCTCAGTCTCTATGGTTATTTATTGATACATCATATCATTGTTTTCGGGATAGTTTCATGACATTGTGAGCCCGTGAGTGAGACTGGAGAGATTGATGACTGAGTAAGGCCAAGAGCCTGATTATGAGTAACAGTTATGGGATCGGGTTGCACGCCGCAGTGGTTATACTGATTTATGATAGCGCTTGGGCTGAAGGAGCCCCCCGGAGTCTACACACGCCCCTAGTGAACGCGGTTGATATTATTGAGGGATGGATCTTCCCTGGACATGGATCTTGTCCGAAGCATTATATACCTTGAGATGGATCTTCTCCACGGGCTGGATTGGCCCTACTCGGTACTGGGTGACTGATGGTCGGTGATATATATATTCCGGGATGGATCCTCCCTAGGCCCTTTGGGCCATATACAGTACTGAGTGATTGAGCATTTGAGAGTGTGAGCACATGAGACTGTCAGCATGGTGCATCACATACAATATGTGCATTGGCATGTAGAAGTAGAAGAGTTATATTCTCCCTTTCATTCAGATGTGATCTATTTTACTGTTTTGACCTATCTATTGAACTTGAAAGCATGCCTACATTTCTCCACTGTTATTTCTATATTGAATTGTGCCGGTTGAGTTTGTCACTACCTTTCAGTCCAAAGGTTGGATTTGTTACTTATTGAGTTGGTTGTACTCACGCTACACCTTGCACCTCGTGTGTAGATCCAGGTGCTTCTGGTCACGGCGACTGTTGATTGAGGAGTCGGATCTCGGAGACTATCGAGGTAGCTGCATGGCGTCCGCAGGCCTTGACTCTCCTTCATTATCTTTATCTGTATTTCAGTTCTTACTCCTTAGACATTATAGTAGACTGTATTCTGGCATAGATGGTCATGTACTCGGTGGCACCCCTGTTTTAGGATAGATTGTATTATGTTACAGATTTATTTCTGTTTCAAAACGGTTTTTCTTAAATATTAGTTGCTTCCGTCTATATTTTCAAAGCTTTTACTGTGTTAAGATGGTTGAGTAGTGGCTTGCCTAGTTTCACGATAGGCACCATC